AGAGGCCCTGAACACGAAACGCGGAAGCCTTGGCCATCTGCACATCTGGAGGCAAGAAGGGCGGCGGCAACCGCAAAGGCAAGATGCGCTTCCCATTTGCTCAACGATTCTGGCTCCTTCAAGTGCCTTTAAGAGTTTAGGCAGTTTGGGTTTATGGGTGTGCATATACTTGCATGTGTGTGTGTGCGCGCGGGTGTGTGTGTGTGTGTGTAACTACCAACGAGCCAGCCAGCCAGCTAGCTAGCTATCTACTTATGAAACAACTCTAACAGGATCTAACAGGCTCTTAAGTACTTTTCTAGCCTACTCAAACCAACAGTAAGGCCTTTTGTGGCCCCTTTGTTATGCGCACGCTTCTGTCTGTGTCGCAGTATATCAAGGTCTTCCTCCAGCTTAACCCTAATTATTAAAACCCTAAGCCCTAAATCCCTAAACCCCAAACGCACTAAACCCCAACACACCGCATAGTGCAGCTCGAACCCGAACTGTGACCACCCCAAGCTCGACAGCCTAACCATGTGGTCCATGAATTCGTGAGCCTTGAGCTTTTGCAGACGCAAAAAGGAGCTCACCTATCCTCTGAACCTTACCCTTCCACAGACTTGTGAGACCCTTTAAACCCCACTGCACCTTATGAAAACCGTGTACAACGTGTACCAATAACTTATTTTCAGACCACTAAGACCGCGAACCGTTTGCAAGCCCTGATGCTAGTGGACCGTGAATCCATACCCTAAACCATTCATGACTTGTAGACGGTACACTTCGTAAGCCCTATCCCTGCACCCTTAACCCATAAGCTAAATCCTAAACCCTAAATCCTAACGACTGAGGCCGAAATCCTAAACCCTAAACCCTAAACGGTAGAAACCGGCCTTTTCTTTACGCCTCTGGAGCCCTGCATCTCTCGAATGCCCCCCCAGGTGGTGGCGGCAAGCACTGGTCTCAGAGCATTGGTGCACGTTTCTGCAAGCTAAGGCTTATAGGCCTTGATAATTAGGGCCACAAAGGGTCCGAGTACCGAAATAGTAAGGTTTTGGGTTCCAAAATCCATACTCTGAATGGTTTTGGGACCTTGAAACCCTACTATTTGGGTAGTTGGACCCTTACAGTAGCGGGCGGGTTTAGAGTTTAGGGCGCAGGCTTAAAAGGGGTTGTGGTTGAGGTGTTGGGGTTGAGAGTTTCGCCAGGGTTCTTGGGTGTCGGGCGTACCTGAACCATCAACAACCCATCCTTTGAAAGACTTCTGTAAGGAAAGTCACAAGAAGGAGCCCAGCAAGATGTAGGTTTCGGGGTTTCAGGCAGGTTTCGACAAGGGAAGGATTGCCTCGATGGCGTCGGAAGTGTGGTTCTGTGGCTTGGAAATCTTGGTTACTATAGGACATGCAGGACCCTAAACCCCAAACCCTAAAAATAACCCTAAAGCCTAAACCCTAAAACCCTAAACCATGATCTGCGAAACCCAAAGCCTGATCCAACACCCAAATGCCGAGTAGAAGTAGCCAGAAACCTTAAACTTTAAACCCTATATAGGCCCTACACCTGAAGCCTCAAACCCTAAACCCTAAGCACTCCCGGTATCCTTTTCTTCGACCCTTTGCCTCAGGGAAGCCTTTGAAAAGTTCCGATTCGCAGTGCCGACGTGTTTCAAGTTTTGCCCCGCGCGTGCTCAGGAAGGGTGGAGGAGGCAAACGGCGGTGAGCGTCCAAAAATTGGACGCCCGATACCCGATTCTGTTTTAGGGCACGCAATCAAAATAGGTCCTACTTATGAGGTTGAGTTGATTCCCCCCAAAACCAGGCATTTCTCGTGTAAACCGGAGGCTGAGGGTGAAGATCCGAAACAAAGCCTCGCGAATGAAGTCCTAGACGAGAAGTTTTCATCTCCAATCCTCAACCCTAAACCCCAACTCCTAAACCCTAAACCCTAAATCCTACACCTTAAACCCCTAAACCCTAAATCCTAAACCCTATAAACCCTACACCTTAAACCCTAAACCCTAAACCCTCTCAGCCGGGTGCTTCAGGTGCAGAGTTTGGGGCTTTCCTTTTGAGGGTCGAAGGGCGCAGGGCTTGTAGGTTTCAAGGTAGTTTCGGGTTTTTAGGGTTTTGGGTTTAGGGTTTATGCAGAAAAGTCCATCCAGGTTCGTAGGTTTGTTTTTGTACTGTGGAAGTTTTTGGAGACGCGTTACAGAGTCCTTTCCCGATATCGGATAACGTAGATTTGTGTAAAGCATCTAGTCTACAAGCCCTAAACCCTAAACCTTAAAAAGCCTGACAGCCAGGCAGCTGTGTGCCTAGGCCCTCAAGGGGGCGTGCTTGCGGCCGTGCTTTGCGCAGCATCCCCTGCGAGATTGAGCGTGCTCCAGCAGTGTTGGAAAATGAAGCATAGCCCTAAACTCCGACCCTTAAATCCTAAATTCTTGCACAGAATGGCGAACCCTAGCCTCCTCAATCCTAATTAAACCCCGAGTCCTAAATCCTAAACCCTTCTGTGACGGATCCTTTGGGTAGGGACTTTCCCAAAACCCTAAACCCTAAACCCTCCCTGAACCCCTAAGCTCCGGCAATGCCTAAACGCGCTGATGCCGGAACTTCACATCCCTTCAGACCCCCAAAGCCTCAAACCTACCCTTATAGAAACCCTTATAGATCCCTTTAAGGAACCCCAAAAGGACCTTAATTTTGGAACTACCCACTTGTTCCCTAAAGCCTAAACCCCAAACCTTCAACCCTAAACCCTAAACCCCGGACCCGAAACCCTTAAACCCTAAAGTTCAAAGTCTAGGCTGCGAGCGCGACTTAGTCGCGAAGCGGCCCGCGATCGATCAGAGAGCCGCTTAGGCACATCACTGCAAGGGTGAAGCCTCTGCAGCCTCTCCTCCTCGGCAATCACCAATGACGATTCCCTGTAACGAACTTAGTAGCTGAATGAGTACACTTTAAACTTTTTGGGATAATATGATCCCTTATAAAACTGAGAGTGTACACTTTTATTTTTTTGGCTTATGAACTCAGAAACTAAGAGAACAAGACACCAGAACTTCATACCCAAGCCCTTTGTGACCCAAAATCCAAAACCCAAAATCCAAAACCCCAAATCCAAAATGCAAAACCCAAAGTCCAAAATCCTGAACCCATAAAACCCCGAATCCAAAACCCAAAACCCCAACTCCAAAATCTCAAACCCAAAACCCAATATCCTAAATCCAAAATCCAATATCCTAAATCCGAAATCTAAAATCCTAAGCGGCCCCCGACAACCGGAAATCCTTTAAAATTTTTGAATAGCCAAGGGGCCTTCGGAGGCCGAAAGTTTGCTACTTCGACGTTTAAACGTTTAAACTCCGAGACGACTGCCGCGAGGGGGACCCAGACCAAACCCTTGATATTTCAACGTTTAAAACTTCGGGACCACTGCCGACAGTGGGAGCCGCACGACGTTTAAAGCTTCGAGACTGCTGCCGAAAGCCTGCTATTTCGACGCTTAAATCCTCCAGACCTCATCTCCGGCAGCTGGAGCCCCAGGCCGGAAGTTTGCTACTTCGACGTTTAAAACCAGACCACTTTATGACCTCAAGAGCACCGCCGGCAGCAGGAGCCCCGTGCCGAAAGCGTGATACTCGACCAATCCTCGAGACCACTGCCGGCACCGGCAGCCCCGGGCCGAAAGCTTGCTGCGCAGAAGTCGTGTGCGGATTTCCCAGGCGGTTTTTCCACATTTCCTCCTTCTATGCCTATACACATTATTTGCTATCAAACATTTGCGCTCAAGTTAAGTTGTATCCTTCGGTTACAACTTAACTTCCGTGCGATGTACTCGGTCCGAATCTCGGCATTTGAATGGTCTTGCTTGTGATTGTTTTCTGTGTATTGGTATGATTAAGAAAATAAGAAAACAACAAGAGAAAATTGAATACACAACGAACCGAGGGTGGGTCGGGCGGGCAGCAAGCAGCCGCGCGTCAGGCTCATCACACCCTAAACCCCAAACCCTAAACATACATGGAGAGGACACCTTCAAAGAAGGCCCTCAGAGCGTTCGAACCGAGCGGCCCCCGTCCTTGGCCTATGCCTGGGCCCCGGGATGTTGAGGTTTCAGGATTAAGGGTCTAGGGATTTAGGGTTTAGGGCAGTTTAGGGATAGGGGTTGGGGATTTCGGGGTTAGGGCTTGGGGTTTGTGGTTTAGGGTTGGCTTTGACTTTGTTTTCTGAGGGCTTGGGATGGAAAGTGCAGGATTTAGGGTTCATGAGCTGGGGTGTCTTGAGAGTGTAGCTTCTGATGTATTGTCGCTATGGGTGTCGGGGTACCGACTAGACTGTTCCAGCGGAGCCGCTGTGTGGTTGGTTATGGATGGGTTTGCATAGGCATACCTACATATTCCGGGGTAGCTTTTTTTTTGTCTAGTCCGTTGTATGCCCCTGGTTCCGCCCACATGTGGTCATTTCCGCACACTCCCAAGTAAATCAGCCCAATTCACATCCTGCAAACCAGATCAGCCCAGTTGCAACCAATTCAGCCCAATTACGAAACACTACCATTTAATTGGCCACTAGACTCACTAGACGCTCACTCACTCTAAGAACCGGTACAGAATCTATTCACAAGTGCCCACAGTGATACTCCATCCTGTTTTTCAAGCGCGAACACAAGAGCTCTGCAATCTTCATAGCAGCCAAACGTTTTCCCGGAGTTCTCTTGCCTTGTCTTGGGTTTGAAGACTGGGCTTGAGGTTACAGACTTAGGACCGGACCGGAAGCATTTTGACATTTCCTGCAACTAGTGGATTCAGAAGAATGTACTCCTAGGTTTTGGGCTACCGGACAGCATTTGGGTTTGGTGTAGAAAACCTACCCCAAAACATGGACTGCAGGTACAAGGTGAAGTTTATGGTCCTATGGCTCCCGGTCACTTGAAGTGGTCTTTCATCGCAGGTCTTCCAAAGCACTCTAGAGACCCTTAGCTAGGAAGTGTTGGGTTTGCGGAAAGTTTAGGGTGTCAAGAACTCCTCAAGCTTATCGTCGCTTGCCATGGCTTCTGGCTGTGAGACCACGCCCACGTGGCCCTGATCGCTCCTTGTACTTTCTAATAAGGGCCTTGGTCTTACACATAAGCCGGTCGAACACAGCCCCATTCACGGTCCTTGCGGAGACACGCCGGCTAACTCTGCAAATCCTGCCTACAGCATCTTCATTGCTTTCGCAGTTAAAGGCTAAAGGGCTTAGAACCAGCATGGCTCCTGACCTGAGCTGAGTATCTATCTCCACGCACATATGGTGCATCGAGTGGTACTTCGGCTTTAAGCCGAATGCGGCCACAGGGATCTTGGCACATAAGTCGGCGCAAACTTTGTATCCTCTGAGAAACCGCAGCATGTGATACTGAACCCGTCGAGCACATTTGCGGTTGAGCCACAATCCGTGCGAATACAGTATTTGCAGCATCAACAGAGCTGATTCCAGGGTTTGCTTCATGGCTTCGAACAGTTCGGTTGGATCATCCGCACATGAAATCATGTGAGTTGTCAGAAAAAACTGCAACCATCGACAGAGCAGCTGAGTATCGGAGCCCTTGCAATTAGCCCATGGGTAGCTGGATTGGTCGGGGCACATCAAATTGTATTTGCTAAATGATCTTAGTGCCGCAGTGCAGCCGGTGGCTTGACAGAACATCTTGAAGCAGCTGTGCGCCCGATTCAATCGGACATCTATGCTTTTTCCTTCGTCGTCTGAAAAATCAAACTTTCCCAGGCGGCACAAGACTACGATGATAGAACCTGCAAGATCTCTTCCTTGTCCCATTTTGAAGCAATGGAATAAGTCAAGGCGAAAAATCGCTGATCGTGCCAGACAGTCGAACGGGATGGTGGCCAAGGCGGGCACACCATCATCTCGCCAGGGTTCCGTCATATAGAGCGAATCTAACCAGGACGGTCTTTCAGAATTGCTTTCGAAAGGAAATTCAGGAGACCCTGCCATGCATAAGTGACACAGGGGTATGTTGCGTTTGTCCCCCAAGTTATAGTAGCTTCTGCACAAGTGCCCGACCTGGTGATGAAACTTCATGTCGGCTTTCACTCCTAAGCATGCTCCGAACCATCTGTTGGAACCGCCTACGATGACGCCATCATGGAATAGTGCAGTCATGTCCTCAGCCAGGACTTGAAAGGCGTAGTCCAACAAACCCGGTTGGTCAGCATACTGCTTCTTGGCTAGCCCGAAGCATAAAAACTTGGAGAGATACGGATGACCCTTCACATTCGTGTGTTGCTTGGCAGCGACACGAACTGCCTGTAGCATGCTGGGGTCCATGTCTACATCGAAGTCGCTGTAGCGTGCAAGACAGGGGTCGTGGCAACACGAACATTTCTTTCGCGTCTGGGGTTCCGAACCAAGAACAGACTCTACGGTGCAAATCATGAAGTTGGACCTTTTGAGATATCGGCCTTCATCCCCATGAACGAGAAGGGGAAGGGTTCTCGAAAGCCTCGAACGGTCGCGAAAAACGACATGTCCTGGATGGACCTGCTCGTAGCAGGTCCAAAAACTCTGGAGCTGCACTTCAAAGTTCCCCTCGCACCCCGTAAAGAATATCGGGTACTTGTCGAGCATGAAAGCTACCCAGGCAGTAGGACGGATCCAGGGGATGTCGATTGTTTCGGTTGTGTCGGGAACATGATAAGTAATGGTGTCTCTAGGAACTTTGAGTGCCAACCCAAAGCGACGGAAGAGCCTATCGACATCACGGGATGCATTGTTGTCTGCAAGACCACCTGTGCTTTCGACTCCGGAGGCCTTCGTGCCTTCAAGTTTCGCTGCTCTCACGTTGCGCGCAATGCTGGTGGCCGGCACCTCGGAGAGTGCGAGGTGGCTCTATCTATTCCTCGAGCTAAGTCTTCCTTAGATGGGAAGAACCTAGGTCTAATCCAACTCGCAAACTACTTTTTCATTTCATTTCTTCCGAAGGATTCTAGAATCTAAGATTTTCATAAACTGCGAAGCCCAACTCTTCAGTGATGGCTGTGAGGCTATACAATGCCATAATTTCAGTTTGTGATCAGACCATAAATCATAGACCACTTCCGTGTTAACTTAAAACCTTCAAGCCTCTAGGAAATTGAGCCCTAGACAAAGCTATAACCAAATATCTAGCCTTATCTACAAAATCGCTTAAACCTCTGCTCTATGCGGCCCGTCACCCTAGGAGCCAAGCCTGAAATCCTGTCCTTATAAGAACCTTATAAAACAGACATTTAAGCTGAAATCCTAGTACACTACAGACCCTGATCCGAAGCAGCATACTACTTGTAACGACAGGCGGCAATCTTGGATTGCAACCCCAACCCCACATCAAATCTTAACGAATTGATTAGCAAAGTCTATCTAAAGTTGACATACAGGGAACCTCAGGCCAGGGCCCCATCTCCGTAATCTTCAGCCCATTGCTGCAGAACAGGACCACTCGTTTCTCCATTGCCTGGCTAGGCATATTTCAGGCACACGTTTTCAAGGTTGGGAGGCTCGATAACAGTTTTGCTGTTGCGGGCACCACAGCACAGATCGGTTTTTCCCTGTTCATCGACAGCATTCCCGGAGCCCAGGTAGCAAAGTAATTAAACATGTGAAAACACACGCTGGAACAGCGATCTTGGCAAAAAGCTGCTTCCTTACAGGATCTCAGAAGGCTTTCCAAAATGCCTTTAAATCCCTAAGCCTTAAATAGAATCCTAAACTATATCTTCTAGGTCTTGGTTCAAGTTATAGACGGGCAGAGCCTTACAGAAAACAGTACGAGCGCACTTACAATCATATATACAACAAAAAAACCGTTGAAAACTGCACCCTATAGGCGTAAACCTGCAACCCAAAAGGGGCTAAGAAGGTTTTACATTTGATAGGTCTAACAGTAAGAAAGCAGCCGCACTAGAAGTGGCACAGCATCCTGAGCTACTTTGCAGCTTTGGCTTTTGCCTTGGCTTTGCATTTGGGTGCTTTGGCCTTCTTGGCTGGCTTCTGCCCATCGCCCTCACCCTCCCGGCCACGTTTGGGAGGCTCAGGCTTCTCCTCCTTCGGCGCCTGCAAAATCGTTTGATCATCGGCCTTTTTCGTCTCAGACACAACCACGGACCTCGAAGCATCACTTCATAGATCGGCAAGAATGGTGGCTACACTCGTAGGGTTCCACCCAGTAGGGGCCCTGCTTTGCCCGAGGTTCCAGCAACATTGCTTGCACACACCTGAAATCGGCCAATCTAGGCACGAGCTTACTGGGAAGGTAGCAATAGCAATTCAGCAACTCAGGCCCCCGACAATGCACGGCTGGAGTTCAGCTCTTTGCGGATTGACCCTTGTAGCCTGGCTCGAGGATAATAATCAACCGAAGGATAACTAATTAACAATCAACCAAGGAGCTCGCCCGAATAGCCATCGATAATTCCCTGGTTGTACAAACTTATCAGCTTGGTGTCAGATTCATCGAGCTGCTTCCTGAGCTCCTCGATCTTCGTGCTCATCCTGAGGCTCGCGGCCGAGGAAGTGTTTGCGAGACAGTGACCTTCAGAGTGTTGATCATGGAAAGACTGCCAATAAGACGAGGGTCTGCTGAGCGAGTGATGCATCCACCGGTTTCGGAAGCTGCGTGAGAACTTGAATAACCCCGCTTAGCTCTGTCTTGAAACCATCTAGCTTGGCGAGCCGCTTCTGAATGGACAACCCCGCCTTGGCCACAATCGTTTGTGGTTGGGAGACCCTTTCCATATCTGGGAAGCAAGATGCCAGCTTCTTGTCCAGGAGCTCAGGGGGGTTGGCTTGCACCGCTGCGGCCTTGTCTGCCATCTCGAAACCTCGGATGAACTGGGGCCCGGCTTGATTATGTCCGAAAGCATGTTTAACCCATGCCCCAAACCCTAAGCCCGAAGAATTAAACCTGCCGAGAAGAATGAAGCCAAGGGTTCTACGTGCTGGACCTTGTCGTTACTAGATTAACCTTCCGAAATCTCAAAAAACGTTCCCGACTGAAGTTATGGTGCTCAGAAAGCCAAAGAAAGGTTCGTGAGTTACGAACCAGTAAACCTAACTTGCTTAGGCAACTGCGGAACCTTTGCAGAATTCGGGCCTATTTTAATTGATCTGGGGGACTAGGTTTAGGGTTGGGTTCAGGGGTTTTTGGTTGGGTTCGGATTTGGGGTTTTTGGGGTTTATGGGGTTTCAGTTGCTCGATGGGTTCCTATAAGTGCTCGTAAGGCGTTTGGGGAGGTAGGTGTTCTTCCTGTTGAAATTCGGCTTAAGGCTGGTGAACTTTGCAGGTTCAGGTTTCAATCCTCTGAGATTCGGAGAAGAGACCGCTGATGTTAGGGACCCCGACACCTCATCAACCCAATCATAGACGAAGTGCCCTTGAAGTCAAAATCATCGGTATTGCTCTTGAGTTTGCCATCCTCGGGCGGGTCCTCCTCCCAGTCAATCATGCGCTGGGTCATGGACCGCTTCACATTCCTGCAGCGAGGATAATTCTAGATGGGAAAGCACCTGAATGAAGCCCAAAGCCCGAGAGATCCTATTGCGCAAGAGATCCGTCGTAGCTGTCCTCGCCGTAGTGGTAGGGGTAGCGGCAGCGGCAATGAGTGGTAGCAGCGGGAGTAGCAGTTGCAATGATAGGAGTATCAGTAGTACTAGTATACTATTGTAGTAGTAGTAGTAGTAGTAGTAGTAGTGTACTAGTGTAGTACTAGTAGTAGTAGTAGTAGTAGTAGTAGGAGTAGGACTAGGAGCAGGACTCGGGGGAGGAGTAGTCGTAGTCGTAGTCGTAGTCGTAGTCGTAGTCGTAGTCGTAGTCGTAGCCGTCGTAGTAGTAGTAGTAGTAGTAGTAGTAGTAGTAGTAATAGCAGTAGTAGTAGTAATAGAAGTAGTAGTAGTAGTAGTAGTAGCAGCAGCAGCAGGAGTAGTAGTAGTAGTAGTAATTTCATGTGTCGTCATCGTCGTCGTCGTNNTAGTAGTAGTAATAATAATAATAGGAGTAGGACTGGCTGTGGCAGCGGTAGCAGCAACAGGAGTAGCAGTAGCAGTACCAGTATTCGGAGTAGCCGGGGTCGTCTAGTAGCAGCAGTAGGAGTAGGAGTA